AAAGATGATTGAATGCTAAGGACCATAAACCGATCCTCAGGCACCAACAGGAATAACTTATCCACCATGTACGAATCAGAAACCAAAAACACAGTCTTAGACAGAGGAAAAAATACAGAAACAAAGTGAACAAAGTCAAAAATTCCACTGCTGCTTGGAATTCACCTTTGGGAGCCAAGAAAAGACCACACCAATCCACTGGTCAATTCTACTCCTAGGTAAACACTGGAGAGAAATGACAAGGTATGTGCGTCTACAGAAAAGTATATGAATGTTCCTGGCAGCAGGAACATTGGAGTCTGGATTGTTGAACTTGTTTCAACCGTAATGGCAGGAAGAGTAGAAAGAACCCAAGTGTTTATCAACTAATGAACCAATAAACAAAATCTGGTATATCCATATCAATGGAATATTACTTGGCCATAACAAGGAATAAAAGATTGATACACGATACAACACAGATGACCCCTGAAAACATCATGCTAAGTAATAGAAGCTGGTGGCAAAAGCACGGCATACGATTCCATTTACATGAAAGGTCCAGAGCAGGCAAACCGACAGACAGAAAGCAGATTAGGGCTGCCTAGGGCTGGGGAAAGAGGGATGGGAGGGTGGCTGGTGATATAGATGAAACTTCTTTGGGGGGTGTTGCAATGTTCTATAACTATTAATAGACTGGTGATGGCTGCATAAGCCGGTGAATGTACTAGAAACAAACCACTGAACTTACAGTACATGAAACACACCTTCAACAGTCTTTTTTAAAAATGGCAGTGTAAGGGAAGGTGGCATAAAGAGGTGGGGGCTCCTCCACCGGGTAACTCAGGCCACCCCTCAGAGGTCTGCAGCTTGACTCTATCCTCAGAAGTCCCAGATGCTTCAGCCCCCCGCTAAAGTCTCCTGCCTCCCTCCCCTGCCCAGGTGCTGGGCTTCTGGGTGGGAGACAGGTACCCCAGGAACCACTCCAAAATGCCCAGGGGAGACTGTGGCCCACTCCTCACCTCTAAACTTGTCACAAAACTTTGTTATGTAGAAGAAAAGCCTGTCACAAAGCAAAGGCAGGGCTCTGGAACCAGAGGTGGTGGGGCACTGACCCAGTGGGAGGGTAAGGACAGCCAGCACACCTGGACAGAAGGGCCTACACTACATAGGCCATAGGCCTGTCTCCTGAGTCCTGGCAGGAGCTCCTTCTTTCATCCATCAAAGGGACTGTTAACCTGCATGGGGACTGGGTGGGCCACTGGCATGTGAGGATGGAGCATCCCTTGCATGAGTACCCGACAGAGCTGCTGGAGCCAGCAAGGACCCTACGCCTAGCTCCCTGGTCAGGGTTCTGGGGGTAAGATGTCTCTAAGGTTCCTAGGAGATATTCAGGGAAAAAACAAGGCTTCAGAGAGACAGCCAGAACCAGGCATCTCACAGCCAGGATTACACTGTCCAGATCCCAGAGGATGTCAGACTTAAGGCTAACAGGAATGAGACAGCCATCAGGTCTCCCTTTGAGGCCAGTGGCTTCACCTAGTCCTCCAGAAGCCTCAGAGCAACAAGCACCCTTCCCAGGACAAAACAAGGAGACGCCTGCTGGGAGGCTCTTGGGGAAGCTCCAGTCAAGGTGAGTTCGTCTTCTCCGGGCACAGGGGGGGTATGGAGCAGGCTGTGGTCCCTCCACACCATGGGGGAAGTCCCATACGCACGACCTCCAGCACCCAAGCTTGGGGTTCCCTAGCAGGAGCCTCTTCTAGTCTCCGATGAGATGCCTGCATGCTGGCAGAGTCACCCCCAGATCTTTGATGCCAGGTCTGATGTCACAGATGGCAGCTCTGTGTTGACACGCTTGCTGGTGCAAAGCCAGGCCAGGAGTGTTATCTATGTGTGTGCCTATGTGTCACCACCGTCAGCTGGCCACCTTTTGAATGAGGCACACAAATCCAGGCTGGGACCAGAGTTCCTAGGTGACAGGTCACACTCCTGGACTTACTCCCAAGAAGGACGCATGTCAGCTGCCTCCTGGAGGCCGTGGTGCAATGGGTGCCCCCTCCACCCCCTCTGCTGCCCCTGCCTCCTTCCTGGCACTGGGCTCTGCTCCTGTCCTACTCTCCCACTGATCAACCGTGGGACCTGGCCATGGCTTGGCCACTTAAAGTGGGTCTTCCCCTTCTCTTTGGCTTTGAGGGGTGAGAGAGATGGAGATCCCCACAAGAGCTCCTGGGACATAGCCCCACCTAGGACCCAGGGCTTTGATCATCTGAACACTCGCCAAGACATGACATATATGTGAGAAACACCCACCACCATTAGGTTTCACATCTGTAGAACTGCACAGAATAAACCTGAGAATTAAAATGAGAAGTGCAGTTATGCAAGTTAAAACAAGTCCGGATTCACAGACTCCCTGTAATAGCAACACAGTGACATTCTTGCTGGCCTCGGGTGAAAGCCTGTGGCCGAGGGCGAGGGTTAGAGTTAGATACAACATGGTGCCCTTCTCCCTGCCCCACACAAGCCCAGCCTGCCCGGGCCACAACGCGACCTCAGCCTTCCCTTTCCTTTCTCTGAAGAAAGGGGACTATTAAGCAAGTGAGGAGGAAACCGCCCACAGCCACTGGCACGCAAGGGGACTCACCTATAGGCGGGGTTCCGGGAAAGACACTCTACAGAAAGCTCCCTGCTGGATCTTCACCCCAGACCAGAAGAGGACCCCTCCCCACGTGGAGGCAGCCCCACTTCTGTGCAGCCACTCCTGGGCCACAGCCACCACCAGGGCCACCCACGCCTTCCACCAAGGCAGCACGGTCTTTCCAGTTCCTGAAAGCAACCAGCTCTCTTTTAGGTCTGGCCTATGGTTCCCCTGTAAAACCCTACCCTCTTCTGCCTCGCCAAGCTGATAAAGATGAAAAAATATCCATGTGGGGAGAGGGTAATTTAAAATAAACCACTTCCCTTGTTTTCTTAGTTGGCAAGTTCTTTCACAGAAAGAGACCCTGGAAACAAACACCCCAAAAGCCGACCAAGAACTCAACTTGCAAGGCACAGCACCTCCAGAAACAGCCGCTTTGTGTTTATTCAGATGATCACATTTGCCTTGTACCTGAAATTTCTGCATTTGGATCAAGGTGAGCAAAAAGAGAAGGGGAGGAGAGGGAGGGAAGAAAGACTGTGTAAGGGGTGGAGGTGGTGGGAGCCTTCCAGGGTGCTTCTCGGGACGAAATCTCACAGCCCCAAAGCTCCCTCCTCTCCCTGCACCACACCAGCGGCTTTGGAACCTGGGCTTTTTGTCCTTGCCCCCCAAGGCCTGGCAAGGGAGAGGGTCCACAGAACAACCCTCTCTGCTCCTCACTCCCTTGAGCAGGTATGGCAAGGAAATGGTGCAGTGAAAGGCCTGGGAGTCTAGGCTGTGTGACAGTCATGGTTGAGAGTCTGGACACTTGACTCCCTTGGATGTAAGCATGGCATGTTACTTAACCTCGCCTTGCCTTGGTTTCCTCATGTGAAGAATGTGGCACAACCTAGTCTCTGATTAGGCTACGACGTCCAAATGAGCTAATCAACACATACAAAGTCCTCTGTGGGTGCATGTAGCACACAGGAAACTCAGTCTGTGAAGGCTGCCATCACTGTGCTCTTCAGCTGGGACTGGCTGTCTTCCTCAGACCTGTCAAGGGCTTTGGGCAAGGAAACTTCTAGCCGCTGGGGGTGTCCAGCCAGGTGTGGCAGCTGAGGACCTGTTACTGAGACCCTGTGCATGGGAGGTCCAGCAGGACAGACAGGACCAGCCACTTCAAGCCTGCACTGCCTTCCAGGGCCCACAGAAAGCACTTCCAGGGCCATAGCTCTACAGCAAAGCTTCTCACAGGCTGCTGTCCAGGTTTCCTGGGTACCACCAAGATGCATCCAGTCCCGGGTCAGGATGAAAATCTGGCCCTAAAAACTGGCAGCTGCAGCCCCTGCCCAGTTCCCAGCCCCTCTACCTCACACTAGAGAGAATATCACTCAGTGCCTGTATGCTTGGCCAAGACTCTTGCCTGGAAGGCTCTATCATCAAACATCCATCTGCCTTCAGATGCCTCATCCTCTTCCTTCTGAGTCCAGGGGACTGGGCATTGTTGGAGCCCCCGGGCAGGCTGTTCTCATGTGCAAATGAGTGGAGCCTTCAGCTCCTTCAATCAGGCTGCTGGGTCAGTTAAGGTTGTGAGGAACCCTGACCAAAACTCTTTTCCATGAGGCACCCCACAGCACTCCTTGCACCACCCAGCGTGCACGCCCTGTTTTCTCTATCCAGCTAACTCCTACTCATCCTTCAGAACCCATCTGATAGCCTAGCCTTCTCTGCCTGTCCCCTCTAATCTCCTTGGCTGCACTACCAGCAATGCACCTCATGTTTCCACAGCTCTATGAAGCAAAGCCTGCACTCCATCATGTCAGTCACCAGTCTCACATTTCATGAGCCCTGTGCCCAGCCTGTGAGATGCCCACCTTCAAGCTCCAGCCATAAAGTACTAACTGCCGGGGCAGGAACAGCAAAAGATGTGAGCATACACACTCTAGGCTGCAGATGAAGGTATGGCCAGTATCTTCCTCCCAAAAATGCCTTACTAGAGTTCTACCACCTAAACTCCTAAAGCCACAGGATTCCTGCTTCCACTCTCCAAACGCCCCCAACCCCACCCCCCAGAGAATCTAGTCTCAGTGCTGGCTGACTCCAGGGGACTGCCCCAAGATGGCCCACCCAGTTTGGGAGCCTGCCAATTGTCTGGTGGGTGGAGATGGAATGTGGAAAAACCATATTCTTCTGCAGCTTCCCTGGCTCCCTTCCACAGACAAAGCCAGCCAGGTGAGGCTTCAGGGGCAGAGAAGACCGCAGGAAGGGCGGGCAAGCTCAGTTCTGGGAGCAGACAGCTGCTTAGGAAGGTGGAAGCACTCTGGGTGGGTCTATCTGCACCTCACGGTCCCCCCCAGCCTGCCAGAGGAAGTTAAATCCACTCCAGAAGGCCCAGGCTTACCTGCCACTATACAGAGGCCTTCACTGGTTCCTCCAGCCTCCCACTCTCTGCCACCATCAGCCCAATCATAACTCCAGCACCAGCGGCAGATTAAATGAACTCTCAGAAGCCCAGCCACCTGATTTCAGGGCTCTCCAGGGCCTGCTTGAATCATTCAGTCATTCAACAAACTTTTCTACCAACCGCCAGTATCTGCTCATAATTTCACTGTTCCAAGGCACTAGAGAGGCTGCCCAGGAGGGGCCACTTCCACCACAGTTGGCTAGTAGGAGCTCTAAACGTCAAGGCAGAAGCTTCACACCGAGTTGCTGGCAAGTCTGCGTCTGAGTGGGATTCCAGTCTGCTGCGAAAAAGTTGTGATCTGAACCCGTCCCTTCCGTCGGTTTCTCACGTCGTGGGTTGGCCCGCGGCGGCTATCAGGGGGTCTGTAGCCTCGCCGCCCACCCTGCGCTCCGCACGCCCCTGCACCCTGCCCCGCGGCCGCGCGCCAGCCGGGGCCCCAGTGAAGAGCAGACCACAAGCCTTCCCCCCTTCCCCAGGAGGCAGCTCCCGCCACCGGGGCACGCGGAGCCGCGCACGGGCTGCCGCCTCCTCTGCCGGCCACCGCGGCGTCCGGGTCTCGCGAGGAGGACCCCGGCGGGGCGAGGCGCGGCCGCACGACGGCACCCAGGCCGCCAGGCACCTCGCAGCTGCGCCTTCCTTCCGGCTCCCCCGGAGGCGGGTAGGCGGGCAGGCGGGCAGGGGTGCCATCGGGGCCCAGGGCAGACCCCGGGAGGAGCGAGTGCGGAGGCTGGGGAGGGAAGCACGGGGAGAAAGGCTACTCACCAGCTCCAGCCGAGCGCCGAACAAGCAGCTGCGGGCCCGGTGCTTCCCCTTATATGCCCCTGCTGGTCTGGCCCCGGCCCGCCCCTGGCCGCCCTCCGCCACTTCCCGTCGCCGCCTGCTAGGAAGCTGAGACAGACGAGGACGGGAGGCGGTGCCGGCGCTGGTCGGGGTAGCCTGGGGTGGCGCCCGACGCGCGATTCACACTGGGAACGAGCGCCGCCGAAAGAACAGTAAAGTGACATTGACCTGACTCGCGACAGACTGGAGTTGGTTGGCCACTTATTCCTGCGATGCTAGGATCATTCCTAATATTTCTCTCGTGGGAAACTGCTTTCCAAATCCCCCACGCTGTTTTTGGAAGAGCTGGTGAGTGGCATTTCTCAGTCCTCGCGGAACCAAAGGGTGGAAAATGTTAGCAATGGGCACGTGAGCCAGATAATCTGCTCCAGCTGCTCACCCGCGCCTGTGTCCAGATAGTCTCCGTTCTGGAGCACGGGGAGGAGAGCAGTGAGTGTGTGTGGTGGGGAGAGCCCTTCTCGGTCCTATTTGTTTCTGCATTCTTTCCAGAAAAGCCTAACAAAAGAAACAGGAAAGCAAGTTTCTGGAAAGAATGCAGAAACAAATAGGACCAAGAAGGTCGCTGCCTCTAAACATAGGAATAGACACCGAATTTAAAAAATAAAAAGATTTTAAAGTATAATCGCAAATCATTCCATGGTTACATTAAAATAATAAAATCAGTGATTTTCTTCTACATTTTTGTGTTTTCCAACTTAAATAACGATGGCACTAATTTTACAATGAATTAAAAAAACTATAATGAAAGTCACATAATGGAATAATTTGTTAAATTTAAGCAGTATTATCTATATATCAGATTGATTTCTTTCTTTCTTTCTTTTTTTTTTTTTGAGACAGTCTCACTTTGTTGCTCTCGGTAGAGTGATGTGGCCTTATAGCTCACAACAACCTCAGACTCTTGGGCTCAATAGATTCTCTTGCCTCAGCCTCCCAAGTAGGTGGGACTGGCCACAACACCCAGCTATTTTTAGAGATAGGCCTTGCTCTGGCTCAGACTGGTCTCAGTCACCCACCTCAGTTTCCCAGAGTACTAGAATTACAGGTGTGAGCCACTGCACCCAGTTCAAATTGATTTATCAGAGTTACATATTAAATAATTAACAAATAACAAATAGTATTTTATTTATTTATTTGAGACAGAGCCTCAAACTGTCGCCCTGGGTAGAGTGCCATAACATCAAAGCTCACAGCAACCTCCAACTCCTGGGTCAAGCAATTCTCCTGCCTCTGCCTACCAAGTAGCTGGGACTACAGACACCTGCCACAACGCCCAGCTATTTTTTGGTTGCAGCCATCATTGTTGTTTGGCAGGCCAGGGATTTGAACCCGCCAGCTCAGGTGTATGTAACCATTTGAGCCACAGGCGCACAGCCAACAAATAGTATTTTTAATGGGACTGTCTCTGAGGTTCCTGGCAGCCAAAGCAGAGAGAGGGAGATTAATAACTTCACAATTCCACAAAGGATGGGTGTGTCAATTTCTGCTTAGAGTCCAACTTCATGTCATAATTAGGAATGAAACTTCTTGGCCAGGCACCTATAATCCTACCAATCTGGGAGCCTGAGGTGGGTGGATTGCGTGAGTTCAGAAGTTAGAGACCAGCCTGAGCAAGACCCCATCTCTACTAAAAATGGAAAAATTAGGAGAGTATTGTGGCAGACACGTGTAGTCCCAACTACTCAGGAAGCTGAGGTAGGAGAATCACTTGACTCCAAGAGTTTGAGGTTGCTGTGAGCTATGATGATTCCATGGCACTCTACCCAGGGTGACAGAGTAAAACTCTGTCTCAAAAAAAAAAAAAAAAGAACAGAAAAAGAAAAATGAAACTTCTGGTTTTCATGTGCAGCTTCAATTGGCTCTAAAGAAGATGTCAAAAGGGACAAGCTACAACAGTGGTTCTCAACCTTCCTAAGGCTGCAACCCTTTAATATAGTTCCTGTGGGTTGCAACCCACAGGTTGTGAACTGCAGATATTCAAGTTAAACAAAAGCAAGTTCATTCAAACATACTTCCTCCCATGGTGACTAGTGTGAAGGGGACAGTACTCGCTTGGATATCTGAAGTCACAGAACAAATGCTTACATCAAAGGTCCCAACTCACGTGCTCTCTCATGAAGGAAGGACAGTGTAACTTCAGGCCTGAGTCTGATGGGTGGGAAGGCTTTGGACCAGGCCTGGTCCACATGCCAATAGAACGTGACCCACGTTAGCAAAAAGGCACTTCTAGCACAACATCTAGTACATGAGTACATTTCTAGGACCAGAAGTGCAATGCTAGCTCTGTATGTAGACCACCCAGACCTAATCATCTCTGGAAAAAGTGTGTTCCCAAGCTCTCACTGCGTACTCTTGTTAGGAGTTGATTTTCTAACAAATGCATTTAACTAGTAATCCTTTCAACCTCAATACCACTCAGCTTTCCTCTTGCTCTTACCACGTCTGATTGCTAAACTTTGAATTGCGTACTTCCCCACCTTCTCATATAGGACTCTGAATACAGTTCCCTTTTTGTTTGTTTATTTTTTATTTTAGTTTTTGATGACTCAGGGCTGAAGTTATGGCTCTGGGCAGCACTGTTGTGGTCCAGCTCCCCAGAGCACGGCTGCTCACACCTCCACCCGTTTATCCTCAGTACAACCGGTAGGGATGATGCTGCTATAATGTTCTCGCACAGATCCTTTAGATGGACTTATATTTTCATGTCTCTTAAGTATGATACCTAGACATGGAACTGCTAGGTCATAGGTTTGGGGATGTTTGATTTTTATTAAAAACTGCCAGTTTTCCAAAGTGCCACCTTGCACTCCCACCAGCAATGAAAGAGCATCCCAGTGATAGGCATCCTCCCATGGGCCCCGCCCCTGCCACCTCCCCCCACAGTCCTGAGCTACCTACAAGTCCCTCACTTCTACCCTGACTCCCTATACTCTTTCTCCTCATGTAAAATGGTCTTTTATATGACCATTTTTTCTCTGTGCCTGTGGCTCAAGCAGCTAAGGCACCAGCCACATACAACTAAGCTGGCAGGTTCAAATCCCGCCCAGGCCCACCAAATAAAAATGACGGCTGCAACCAAAAACTAGCTGATCGTTGTGGCGGGTGCCTATAGTCCCAGCTACTTCGGAGGCAGAGGCAGGAGACTCGCTTGAGCCCAG